TTGGTACTTTGGCGGGTCAAAAGTAAAATTTTTTAAGTAGTTTTCAAAAGCCCCGTAAAAAACAAAAGAATAATAAGGAAAAAGGGAATTTGTACGCAAAATCGGTTTTCGAAAATTCGATTTTGGTTTTTGGTGCAATTCTTAAACAAATGATCGTAGGTACATGCAATTTTGACTGAATGTTTATATTAGCATTTTTTATACACCATAACATTTTCCAAATATTTTGACCTATTTTGAGCTGTTTACGGACATTTTCAGTTTCCGTTTATTTAGTTTTTTTTCTATAAATATCAATAAAATTTTATTTGTTGGTTAAAAAAGCTTTAAAATTTAATAGAAGGCTCCTAGTATATTGTTTCCATATTCAATTTTTTTTTTTTATAAGCATTTAAAGTTCAAATATTTACAAAATACATAAAAATGATCAAAATTTGCAAATTATTTTGAGTTAAGAATTCGTAAAAATTTTCCTTTTAAATCTAAGATTTGAAAACGTAATACAAGATTACTCATAAGTTTGTCTACCTTTATCAAAAAAAAAGGTCTACACGAAAGTCAAATAAAATTTTTATGAGCGTTTGAAATTCATATTATTACAATATTTGATATTCACTGGATTTTTCATGACGTAACGATTTCCTTATTTTGTTGTAATTAAAAAACGAATAATTGTAGATACTTGAAAATTTCACTGAAGGTTTATATTAGCATTTTCTATACACCATACAATTTTGAAAATGATTTTACTCTTTGAAAGCTGATTACGGACATTGTCATTTTTCAATTTTTTTAGTTTTTTTTTCTATAAATATCAATAAATTTTTATTTGTTTGGTAAAAAAGGGTGAAAATTTAATGCAAGGCTCCTAAAATAATGTTATAATAGCAGTGGAAAAATATTAAAAATACATATTCACAATTTTTTTTATAAAATTTATAGATCGAATTTTGACATAATTCATCAATTTAAAATTGAATAATTATTTTGTAGTTAAAAATATATAAAATGTTCAACTTTTATAGCTAAGGATTGAAAATTTAAAACAAGATTTCACGTAAATAGGTTATATATAAATTACTTTATTCATTTTAATATCATCAAATATACTTAGTAATATCATAGGCTGACTGACCATATTCGCTCAGAATCGTTTTTCTTATACAATGATACTATATCATTGAATTAAAATTTAACACCATCCATCATATTGACCTACTTGTAGCCTACTGTAGTACAGCAGAGCGACATCCACTTACCCACTTTTTTTTTTAACTTAATTCGTCAAACTAAGTTAAATTATTTAGCAGATTATTTTAACATAAATATTATATTATACAGCTCAAAGCCTTATCTATAAAATGGTATCACAACTGTTTTTACACGGAGTTTGGTAAAGGGTTTTTCTTTATATATCACTCATTTTTTGTTGATATTTTATTATTATTTAGGGAACATTTTGGTTTTACAAAGATGTTTTTTTCTTTTTTTTTTTAAAGTATTTAAAAAAATATGTTTATATGTTTATAAATGGTTGCCAATGCGGGACACGGGAAAAATTATCAAATAAAATGCTGAAAATACGCTACAATAATTTCTAGTTAAGTTAGCTAAAAACTGTAAATATTGTTCAAAATGATTTGAAAAATACAGCATGCACATCTACGTTAAATTTCTAATTTGATTATTGTATTTTAAAACTTCACTATTCAACTGAAAATTTTTTATGCTTTTTCAAGGAATTTCATTCCTGAATCGTGTTGCTTCCTGTAATTATACCAGGCTAGTTTTCTCGTATTGTATTGAATATGTGAGCATTTTAATGCTTTCTTTTCTTTTTATACTTTTCTCGACCCTGCTGGGTTGTTGGACTTATAATATCCACAATATTATATCAATATAAAGTTATAAATATTATTTGTTATCAATATTATTACTAATGAATGCATAATAGTAAAATAAATTACTTTAATCAAAATAATATCATAAAAAATATACTCAGTAATATTACATGCTGACAAAACGTCTTCGCTGAGAATCGTTTTTCTTATACAATGGTTTAATATTATCATTGAATTCAAATTTAATACACCCATTACAGTGACTCTGAAGGCACCTTATGTATACATGAGAGCGTTTTCAACTTGACAGTTTTTTTGTATTCTGTAGGTACCAAATATTTTAGTATATTAAAATTCTCTGAAGCGTTTGAAAATTAAATGCACTAATACTTAAAGCAGTTTTATTTTTCAAACTCAGTGTTCTTCATGAAATATGGTAAAAATGATAAAATTGAGACATTTTCAGTAAGCCTAATTGTATTTCAATAATCAATAAGTAATAATGAATTATTTACCCAATATAGAATTATGACACAAATTGCACATCACAAAGTGCTAGATAATATAAACTTTAGTATCAACTTTACTGTATTTGTTATATTTCGTCCAATCAGGTAAGACAAAGTTGTTGAAGAAACATCTACCTATGTAAACTAACCTTGTCTTTTTTGATTTTACATCCTATTTAAATGAGATATTGTTTTGTTTATGACTACTAAACGAAACCAAATAAAATGCCTGTTGTTACTTACATGAATTAGAATAACTATATAATATGATTATAATATTATACTATTATACTACTGAAACTTACCAACAGACACAAATATAAATCGTGAGATTATAAAATTATTTCTTATAAGAGATCGTGTGTGAGTTGGACTCAATTTAGTAGTTTATTCTTGAAAAAGTGATGTTTAATTTCGTACCGATATTACAATATAGTATATACGCATATTAGTATGATTAATAATTATTGCAAATCACAATACAATATTATGTTTACTTAGGTCAAATATACGGACGGTTTCAGTTCGGAGGAGTGGAATAAATTGGATCCGAGGTAAGACACATATTGGGTGAGTTATAAAGACGATGATCTGTAGGTAGTCGTGATAACTTATTATTACCAGATATTTTATAGACCACTAATTGTTTTACGATTTTAACTGCATATTTCATATTTTATTGCGAATTTGGATTTTTTTTTTAGTTTTTCGATAAATTGTATTAATTGTCAACTTAAAAAAAAAACATTATTTTAATTTTAGTTTTATATATTAGAACGTACTGTCGTAACATTTACTGTTATATTATTCATAGTACCTATATTGTTATTTACAACGTGGTGACGCTTTTGCGCTACGCCGGGAAAATATAAAGTACAACTATTATATTCATGCGAACACTACTCGAGATACGGTGGTCGGGCCACGAGGGTTTTCAATTCAGTCTGCCGTGTGCTCTCGTGCGTTTCACATTGGACTTGATCACGTCGCCGTCGAACTGTAGTGAACGAAAACCCCGCGTGAGCCCGGGAAAGCGTCTAAGGAAAATATCTTATTGCGTGTGCGCTGTCCACGGGTTATTATTATTATACACCCTATTTTATGTTCATCGCTATTAAAATACCATGTTATATTAATTTTATGGCGCGTGTACATATCATATAATATTAAGACATGTGTTAGGCAACTACGCATATCAATAATATAATATTATCGTGTGATATATTATAGCTGGTAATATATTATTCTACAATTAATAATAAATATGTAAATAATACAAATAATATGTAACATGTCGACCGTATAATGACTCTGAGTTCCTTAATTTTGGATAATAATGTGTAATGAGTGTTTTATATGCATACGATATGTACTTAATAATGAATAGTCTTCTGAACAGTTCGTTAATTAATTGCCACTAATACTGATGAGTTTTAGGTCTCGTATAAACGATTATTGATTATAATTAGTAGGCACTTATAGTATCTTTATATTGTATTATTGTAATATTGCAGCTTTTTCAAATCACATAACACAAGATTCTTTTGTTTTTAAAATGAATTATAATTTGACAGCAATAACAATAATACCACAAAATTAACTTAAATCATGATGTTAGGTGTACACCTAATATAAATCATTATAATATAATATAGAATTTAATATAACATAATATAATATAAAATATAATATAACATAACATATAATATAATATAAATTATAATATAACATAATATAATATATGTAAATATGATATAATAATAATAATTGTTAAACAAAGTTTAAATAAAAAAAATAATATAGAGACAATATTATACATTCAAAATAAAATAGATGTTCATTTGAAATAGGAATGTTCAGTTTTTAATATATAAAATGTTAAATAGTACGTTTCAGAATCTCGATTTTTTTTACTTTTAAACGTTTAATTTAAATATGTTTCAAAATATCTGAAGAATTTAAATTGTATCTAAATGTATACGTTTTTGCAAGGTTTTTTTAAGATGTCTGTAATTATTTTAACTAATTATAAAATACTATACCTACATAATATCCTGACTATTAAACATTATATTATTATATTAATTTTACTTTTACTTTTAAGTAGCGTAAAATTGGTACCTAATCAAGTTCTGAAAAATAAATCCTTAATTTTTTATTATACTTCTGAACATTTCTGAGGTAGGTATACTGTTAAATAAATAGTAACATTTGAAAATAAATACGATTTGTTCGTGATAAATATGTATTCACTGGTTATTTTTTCTGTGCATCTTATCTTATGTATATATTATAAATATTATAATGTATTATTTTGAACTAGACAACTACATATTATTGTGCTTACCATTATTACAGTGATTATATGTGTAAGAATATTATTATCATGTAGGTATTAACAGTATCTAGGTAATAAGAAAACTACATATGGTACATATAATAAATTATCATGAATGGAATTGCGTATAGACAGCATAATATCAATTAAGAATAAGATATACAGTGTTAGGTCAGGTACCTAATATTATTAAAGCAACATTAGTAATCACTAGGCAATAGGTATACAATACTATATTAGTATCTTATAATAAGTGCAAAATTTGAATGAACTGAACTCTAATAGGTCAAATACCTCTATATGTTATTTCCATTATAAGTCCGGCGGTGGTAGCATGGGAATTGATTCGTCTCCTTGGTCAACCCATCTGAACGAACCTCCTCTAATTTGGTTGCCACTGAGTAAACCTGAAGTTAAGAATACAATATTTATGATAATTAAGTCACACGATTATCAAAGTGTTACACCAGTACAATATTATTTTGGGAGTACTTACACGTAAAGAAAAAGTTGTTGGTTCGAATCGTCACGACTCCTGTGATTTTGTTGAGGTGGATGTATCTCAGCGCTGGAAAATTGGGCATTGTAAACGTCATAGAATATGCGGTGGCCGTCTCTCGGACCAAACGCATCTCGTAAGCGTTGATCAACATGGATACCGCCGGATACACGAAAACGATCGGGAAATAGAAATACGGTAAGCAAAAAAATGAGAAAAAAAAATAAAAAAAGTGCTCGTGTGGTAGCTATTGTGACAGCTGGGTTACAACAAGAAAGTTTATAATATAAATTATTAATATGGTTAAGCGAAAGGGTTGAATATTTATTGTTATCGTTGTTATAATATGATATTTTATATAATATAATATGGTTATAAGTGTATAATATTATTTGTTTTGTGGTTAGTTTAATAAGATGATTTTTTTTTTTTGTTACGAGAGTCAGGAGCTCGCGGTGGTCGACTGGCCTCTGAGACTGTGGCTCAGGCAGCGTTGGCGGCGTTACTGGCGTTGGCGTTGGTGTCGGCTGTAGATGCGTCAGCAGCTGCGGCGCGGTGGTTTGGTGCTGTTTGATCTTGCTCAGTCCACGTGCCAGACTGCCAGATACAGTACACCAAGTGCATGGTGGCCAAGACTAAGAACGTCAGGTCGAACATAATGCGGTTTGCTACAGACTCACTACTAGACACTTTCACTTCAACAACTGCACACCATGACACACCACAGCTTAATAACGGACGCCGTGACGCTGCAGACCAGAGCGGACGATTGACGACCTTGTACCGTGGTCGAGGGTTTTCGGCGGTGGACCAACCGCGTCCGTTGTGGGTGTGTCCCGGACCCGGTGCCCACCGTCCCCCCCGCATCCGGCAGGGGGACCCACCGCTTCAACCCACCGAGCCGGGACGACCGAGCCACCTATAAGAGACGCGCGCTCGACAGGAAGAGCAGGACACGCGGACGCTGCGCCGACGTCACCGGCCGAATACGCATACGCGTGTGCTGTGCCCCCCCCGAAAGTCTAAAAATAACACGTATCTCGAGGTGACGGTGGTGGCGAAGGTGGAGGTGGCTGTGGAGGTGGCTGTGGTGGTGGCGGCGGCGGCGGCCAGTACAGTGACGCGGATCCAATGACGCTCGCGGAGAGAGTTCAATCTTCCGCCGCCGACTCTGACACGGCGACGACGACGCACGCACGATGATGTATAGATTCGGGAAATTGGGTGTCGGTCAAGAGAATCTTTTTTTCCGCTTCGACGTTAGTAATAACATTATAATATTGTGTACCGACGACGACTGTATATATAATATTATTATTATATATTTATACATTTTTCCTTCGCATAGTATACGGCGTAATAATATCATATGTATAATAATATTATGTGTGCCGTGCACGCACACCGCACACCGACCCAGCCACTAATATTATTATTATTATATAGCTTACCGAATTGGATTTTCGCATTTCCCAGTACGTTTGCTCGACACCACCTCCACCGTTCTTCATCACCGTGGGGTTCGAATTCCGCATATATAAGTCTATAATGTGTTATGTATGTTTACCAATACGCACTTGTAATCCGAAAACAAACCGTCAGGTTAATGTTTTTTGATAGATTTTGTTTCGCAGAAAACTCCTGTGATCTTGAAACGAATGGTTCCTGGTGTTATAATATAATATATATACACAAACACACAATGAAACAATATTCTCTTGTCTGATCCCGAATTTCGCCGCGTTATTTTCACTCGATTTCCGTCGTTTGTCTTTTAAACTTGATAATATTCACCGTGCATTTTGTCTTGGATTATGTATGTATTTTTCATTGTTTTAGTAAGAACACGCAAACGTCACAGAGAGTTATGTTACCCCTAAATAAAATATAATTTGTAAATTCGATTACTAGGTACTATTACTAAACGTATTTCATAATGGTTTTTACTTGTATATATAGTTATTGGCGTAGCGTTAGAAGGGAATACATTTTGATAAAATATCAAGATAAATATGAAGTAGTATATTAAATAGTTTAAAATTTAAATAACAAACTAAAAATAAGAGTAATTTAAAGTTATCGGAATAGTAGAATTCATTAGAAAATAATAGTTAGTAAACTATTCCCAAACAATGAAAACAATTTTTTAATCCAAATTAAATTGTACCTACAAATTTATCAGTTATCAGGTTTATGAAATGGGTGGAGGGGGGTTTAAGTATAAATGAAACCAAGTTTTTTACAGTTTTCGTGTATAAATATATTTAGAGTTCGGGACTTGTTGCATTAAAAATTATCAAAATATGCTTAAATTTATGCAGCTAAACGTATATATTAATTTTTAAAAATGCATGAAACATATTAACATTTTGGAAATAAAAACTTGAAAATAAGTAGGTATATAAACGTGATAAAAATAATTTATACACCGGCCGGTTTACTAATTCGAATATATATTGATAAATATGATGGACAGTGAACACTATTATAGAATGTTTTGGGAATTTTTAAACAAACTTAGTTTTTAAAAATATTTGCATAAAATACTGGGTTAATAAATAAGTTATAACGAATAACATGATATGCAAACACTGCGATCAACGAACACGTATCTACTAATTTTCATTTCTTCGTACAATCTAGAATCTAGAAGTCAATTATAGTTTTGACACAGTTTTGTCATAAAGAGACTCATCAAATCTTAAGTATCATATGCGCAAATAGTCTGATTTAGGGGGCAAGCCTACACTGTAATGGATAAGAAACAAAATACGAGGATTACATGGGGGGGGGGTTAATAACTATTATAGAAAAACTATAATATATTAATTAGTTCATAGGTTTGTTTCTATTCCACTTCTCTATTATTGTTGTATTGGTGTAAAAAGTGTATCACTTACCTCGACTAGCTTTAAACGATGTGTACATAATATAATCTTTTTGTGTGAGTCGATGCAAGTTATTATCATACTATTTTTAGTCTACAATAGGTACCTATTCAATTTAATATTATACTATATTGTGTAAGTATAGTTATAATAGTTAGTTTGTAATATTCAACATATTTTATATTGTTTAATAATTTACCTTATACCTTATCTAGTTCGTTAAAAATGTATATTAAAATATTACGATTGGATAAAATGGTATTAAGGATATAGGAGAAAATCGTAGGCAGTAATGAAAACAACATGAGTGTTTTTTGGACTATAAAGATTAAGATGAATATACCAATATATTAGTTCATACCTGGTGTTTACATTAACGCAATATAGTAAGATTTTTAGTATGGAAATGAATTAATTTAACTTTTAAATAATAAAAGAGTTGTATTTTAATGTACCTATGAAGGTGTACCGAAATAATTTTACGTGGATGTAGGACATTGTGCTTTGTCTTCATAGAATACAACCTCCTATCGTACTGCTTCAAAACATCGTGTTGCCGTGGAACAATAATTGTTGATCCGAGAATGAGTCCGTCCGAATAATCCAAGTGATTCAAAGAGTGTCCGTAGAATATCCGTGGAGTATATGAAAAGAGACTTGTGCAATGCCCAGAGCCGAAAACTAGTGATCCGAGAGCCCTTGGTTTTCTGTGGAGGTGTATTGGTTATACCAAGTGTAGTGAAGTTTTGTTGAGCAATATCTGAATTGTCTTGTATGTTCTTCCATATAATATTGGTATGTGTTTGTAACTTGACGATTTTAGTATTATATTGTTCATAGATGATCGAGATGCAATTCCTATTGCGTCAGATGAATTGTGGTGTACATATTAATTATTATTTCATCATGTTTCTAATTGATCAGAGTGTAATAATTATTATTGTGTAATGCCTACTAATTTTATGAGAATGTTAATTACATTATAAAAATAATTTAATTGCGTTATATATGCCACGTCCAAGTATACTCATATTGGAAATTCATTTTACAGTTTTATTATTAACTAAACTTATATTATTTATATATTACAACACGAACCACTTTAACAGCCCTCCCAAACATTTTCTGATTTTTTTTTAAACTTATTCAATTTTATATTAGCAGGTTTAACTTTCCCAAATTTCAAACAGAAATAGTATTTGTGTCTATGGTTATGGTAGGTACTAGGTATCTACTAAAACATAATATTTTTTAATGTTATCCAAATAAAATCCGACAATTGTACCCACATTTAAGTAACGAAAATTCGAACTATGCTAAAAATCGTTCAAATATGCACTTTCCCTAAAATATGATGAAATATGCAAAAATATGCAAATTCAAACTTTGTATTTCATGTTGTAATTTTATAAAACAAATTTATAACTTACATAAAATAATCTACAACCACTCCAAAAAAACATACAAATGCAAGAAGACCCAAACTCTATAAATAATACATTTATGAGGTGGGAAATGCCATTGTTGTGGGAGTGGGAGGGGGGGTTAATCACCCAAACCGCCCTGGTTACACCACTGAAAATTATAATTCTATAAAGTCAATAAGTGTAATATATTTTTAATTTGGATCATTAGGTATACATAATATTTAGTACTTCGGTGGGTGTGTAAATAGGTAGTAATATGATTTCAGGTTTTGAGTTTTATTTCAGTAAAAAAAAAAAATAAACAAAATGTAGTCAGTAATATTGAACAACGTAATATAAGTACTATACATTTATTTTAGATTCTGAGTGGAACGATGAATGTATTGATTTTACAATGATGTGTGTTTTTTTTTAAATTTTTTAAATTGAAATTTTTTTTTGTGTCTGTCATCACGTTTTAGGACAGTAAACGTGATTGGATTTTCTTCAACAGTAGCTTTTCTGATAGGAAAGTGAATCTAATTGGTACTTTGGGGGGTCAAAAGTAAAATTTTTCCAGTAATTTTCAAAAGCGCAGTAAAAAACAAAAGAAAAATTAGGGGATTTAAAAAAAAAAAAAAAAATTAGGATTTTTTACTCTAATTCGATTTTAGACAAAATCGATTTTGGATATTATTGTTACTCTAAAACTATTGAACGTATAAACATGAACATTTCACTGGTTGTTTATATTTCTATTTTCTATTATATGATAACATTTTCCAAATTTTTGATTTATTTTGATCTCTTTGAGGACATTTTTAGTTTCCATTTTTTTTAGTATTTATTTCTATAAATATCAATAAAATTTTATTTGTTGGGTACGAAAGCTTAAAAATTTAATAGAAGGCTCCTAATATATTGTTTCAAAGACAGATGAAAAATATTAAAAATCCTTTGTCACAGTTTTTGTTATGAGCTATTAAAGTTCAAATATTGACAAAATACTGAAAAATGACAAAAATTTGCAAATTTTTTTGAGTTAGGAATACATAAAAATTTTTCTTTTTAAATCTAAGATATGAAAATGTAATATAAGATTCCTTATAAGATTGTTTACCTTTATGAAAAAAAAAATGTCTACAAGAAACTCAAATTACATTTTTATGATTGTTTGAAATTCATATTTTTGCAACATTTGATATTTACTCGATTTCTCATGTAACGATTTTCTAATTTTGTTGTAATTATAAAACGAATGACTGTAGATACTTGAAAATTTCACTGAATGTTGGTATTAAAATGTACATTTTTCTAAAAGTTGTACAGTCTATTCGTATTTTAAGAATACGAAAATTAGTCAAAACTATTCTGGAATATATGACCTAACCTTAATGATGTGGTAATTTTTAAAAACCAAATTACTAACAACTAGAAAACAAAATAAATAAAACTTTAAGTGTCCAATTACTGTAATATTGGTTTTGTGTATATTAAGAAGAAACCACACCTACAATACTCTTCAACGTGTAAACTAATAAAATATAAACGATATAGCGACTTAAATATAATT